CCTGGTGGGCTATATTTATAATTCAGTAAAACAAGACCAAGAATAAAAACCCTCATACCCTCGACAAATTTGCATATATGCCTCTGATGCACTACCCCGACTGGCCCCAAGGTTACATATTGGTTCTAGAGTGGGATTCCATCTGACAAGGTGGGCAATGGTGATTGGAAGCTCCCCAGGGCCAAGCACATTGTCGTTGATATCCTGGACAACATCTGCACAGCTCTGATCACCCAACATAAAATATGTTGCACATGGTGGAGGAGCACAAATGGTTACTGGGACCCTTGGAGGCCAGCCTTCAGCCTCAAAGCAGTGGTTCAAGGCATAGACCTCAAGGGTGCTGAGAGAATAGTCAAACGAGATCTGCAGACAAGATACTCGTTCAGTGATAGGAATGTTAATATTGGGTGGGAGGCAGGGTGGGTCAGATTCTACTGGTCCAGGAAAAGAGGAGCTGCCCTGAATATAAGTAGGAAGATTTGTGCTTTGAGCAACATTGTATTGGGAGTAGTCACTAAACAAGATTTAGTTCAAATAAGGACCCAAATAAATGAACAGGACATACGAGCTGCAGTCACTGAGATAACTTTGGAGCAAATCATAAAGATCAGCTGAATATGTGAGAGGATCAGACAGTGTTGTATGCAATGTTTGAAGAATGCAGTAGTTGCATTCATCCCCTGGAAATAGTGGGAGTTGAACATTAGGCAGGAAATCTGGGCATGCAGTTGAAATTGTGCTGATTATACAATGAGCACTATAAATAACTGTGGTGCCTGGAATATAATTACTCATCAACAAGACATTGGGTCTTATAAGGCCCTAAGATAAGATCAATAGCCAATGTTGCTAAAAATGATAAGTAATCACATGTATATAGACACCGATAATGTACTCACCAATATGTGTGGATCCATTAGGGCCAGGAAATACAAATCCTGTACAAGCACTTGCAACAGAGTCATGATAGGACTGCAGTGCCATTTGGCATTCAGTTGTACAAACTGTGCTGAGAGAGACCATGTCCTGATAGACTATATATTGGACAGAGGGGTCACAAGCAATCGATGCAGTCAGCGCAGCAGCACAGGCAGCAGAAGGTGCTGGAGAGGTGGGGAGTTGATCGGATGTATAAAGATGGAATGAATCAAGGGCTTGGAGGTTTATGTGTGTTCTGTTGGATCCCAGATGTGACACAGCAAGTGAGGAGTGTCCCTTTTTTGTTTGGCCAAGGTCATGATGCTTGAATGACTGGTATTTTTTGCCTGAGGGCCGAGCAAGAATACCAGTGAAAAGGACTGGCAGAAATGCGAATAGAAGCAGCCAAGATGGGAGATGCATGATCATGAGAAATGGGACATGGCAGCGCCGTTACTGTTATACCGCCAGCCCATGCACTCTGTCGCAAGGATTGATCTGGTAGACATGAATTACCCCTGGACACCTGGACACAGACTTCGAAATAAATTGATGGTATGACAATTGACTGACGCGTGGACACAAGTGCGGACCTGAATGATGTATGGTCCCGAAGATCAGAAGTGTGAATTGCAGTCATATATTATCTGGGAAGGTCGCGGGAATACTCGTAAGGGACCTGGCCGAACGTCAGCTCGCAAAACGGCAGCATCTTACGCAGGGCGTCCGAGAAAATACTGAGGCGAGCTGCGTCAGTATCAGCCTGAGCGCGGTAAGACTCGAACACAAAGTGCAGCGGCCCGCCCGGCGCCGAATGGGGGATAGGGAGCGTTGAGCGCGGGGTGCGGGGTTCTGAGCCGGCTTGGCACACAATTGTCGTGGGTACAGGCGGCAAGGCGCGGAGGGTGCGCGGGAAGGTGACAGGGAGCGCGGGTGGCCAGTGCATGCGAATGCTCAGCCGGAAGGTACGCAGGCGCGGGAGCGGCGGGAGGAGGAGAGGCGTCAAAAGCTCTGGTGGGGATCAGCCCAGTGAGAACAATTTAAGCAAGCTCATGACATACCATGAGCGTCAAACCTAAGGTCTTCCAGCACTGCAGCTATAGAAGTGAAGAAGATGTTTGTCCGTAGGTCGAGCGGGTGTTGATTAGCCCAAGCATTATAATGCAGTTCCGTCAGACGACGCAGGGACGGCATGCCACGGCTAACGAGCAAGTCGGCACTCGGCGAGAACGCATCGTGAAGGAGCATCTGGCGAATCGGAGATGCCGGGAGGTTTTCGAGGTTATGGCTGCCAGAGCTTATTCGGCAATTCCACAGAGTCAGTCGATGCACCCGAGCCATCGCCGCCCCAACGCCAGCGAGGGGCAAACCGCGTAGATCAACGATGCTCAAGGTTTGCAGATGTTTGGCTCCCATCGCCACCAAAATCGCTGTCTTGAGTGGCTCCGAGTAGCCCGACCACCGACGGGACGATGCGAAGATTCGCAGCCTGAGAACGTATGGCGTAACGGCGAGGAGGACGGCCGTGATTGCACTTTCGTCGGTGTGCCAAGCGGGGAGGCGGATGGTGAGATGTCGCACATGCTGGGCGATATGTGGGGACACCGGGAAGCGGTCGAAGGGTGACTGCTTCAGGCCATCGTCATAATCAGTCACAGGCGCCGCGCCGCTGTAGAGCCGAACGGCATGGAAAAGGACTTGCTGGCACTCGAAGCGGAGCACGGAGCACGTGAGTGAGAGGGTCGCCAGCGCGGAATCATCGCCTACAGAGCGCACGATCGCCGTCTGGAGCTCTGGAGGGAGGTCGAGCAGCGGCATGGCTGTTTGAGAAAAAGAAGGAGATGATGTGACGGTAACGGAGTGGGATCAATCGTAGACAATCAAGACAATCAGTCATCCCCTTCTGATGTCGACTTGCCGTTACCATCCCCTGCGACAACACGGAATTGTCAAGATACTTGGATTCATGTACAGTTTACATGCTTGATACAACTTCTGGAGCTCAGTCAACAACAACAACGGCAAAAACAGGAATTCAAAAGGGAACCATGACGCCTCAGTGCCACTGGAGCATCTCACGCTCAACCTTGAGCGCCTCCGCGAACGGCACACTGGTTTCAGACGGCGTGTCTTCCATGGGAAGCGGACCGCCTGCCAAGGCAAAATCGCGACCTTCAATCGGACGGACGAATTTGCCTTTGAGGAGGTTGCAGTACGGCTTGTGTTCTTTCCAGTGTTGCTTTTGGCAACGACTGAGGAAGATCAGGAGGGCCTTGAGCAAGATAGGAACGCACGGCGAGCAGTAGAGAGCGTAAATGCATCCGGTACAGCGCATCATGCTGTCGGTTTTGAGCCCGCAGGAGAAGCAGCCTTGCCACACGCGGGGGATGTCCTTCGTCCAGCGCGGATCTGGGGGTATCCCCTCCTATTTGATTGTAAGACCGAAATAGGCATTGGGAGAAGAACGATATACTCACATAAATGTCGAGTATGGCGTTCAGGGTGGCGGAGATGAACAGAAGACGGTTCATAATGCGGACCTGGCCGTATGCATATTGCCAGTACCCTTCCGGCCCCATAGATGCGGTCATCTCTGCCTCGAATTTTGCGTCGCGGAAGAAATGAACTGGCCCGCCTGCTGTATCTTCGTCATGCGTCGCTATGTCCTTATACTGCGAGCCAGTGAGATTTTATCACCGCCGCGTGCAAGCTTCTACTCACCAGAGCAATCAAGTCCTTTTCCCCAGCCCGCTCGCCGATGAGCCCCAGTAGCGACATCTCGGGACAATCAAACCGGCCTTGCTCCGTTGCCACATCCGCGCCCCGCAAAAGACCGGCCAGAGCCAGTTTCCTCTTTTCCTCTCGGCCCAATGCCTCCCAATGACGCACAAATGCGCCGGCGTTGAGCATTTCCCGCACACGCTCAGCCATCCCCAGCTGGAAGAGCGACAGCTTCGTGCAGGACGCGTGCCAGTCGCGGTCGCACAATGGCTTGTTTCCCTGGTACCCCAGCTCGAGCATACGCAATGCTTTAGCACGATAAGCTGCGGAGTCGCCAGTGGGCCCGTACTTTTCCTCGTAAACCCACTCGAAGTAGGTGTTCCAGTCCTCGGGGTGCAGACTGCGCAGCGGGGTACCGAGCATCATCGGTGGGGGAGTTCCTGGTGGGTGTGTGGCGACAAACTCGTGGTAGTGTGTGGAAGAGAGCACGTCAAGCTCGTATCGCTGTTGGACTGCCTTGCGCGGAACATCGGATTTTTCGGTTGCGCGTTGGTTTTGCGAAGAGCATCTCGTATGCGGTAGGGCCATCGACGGAGTCGTCCTCTGTGCCTAACATGGTGGTTAGAAGCAAAAGGAATTCTAGGCACGTGCGGCGCGCTGTGGGTTCGACGTGGGAACAGATCGGCCGACGTCCGTGGCTTTTCGGATGTCAGAGGACCTTTTGCCTACACCTCTGCGTGAAGAACGCCAGGCCGGAGTTTCGCTGTGCTTGCCCCGGGCCTGCGCCTACATGAGAATCGGGAGTAAGCATGGTTCGGCAATCAGGAAAATTTCCGGTCGATCGCCGGTTGTGACCATTTGATGTGATGATGCTGACGTGGCCAAATTTTCTCTTCCACATTGCTTTTGCATTGCTTCCCCAGGAATTCACTTGCGCGCACGGCTTATGCTTCTTAGTTAACTCATGTCATGTTGTGACACGCCGACGGGAATCAACTCTCATTGAATTCAACCTCCCGCCATCCGTCGTCATCCTCAGACAGCCTCGCACCATCCTCTATCTCTGTCTTCCCTGGAATGTCTCCCGCGGTAAGTCATCGTCTCGTCTGACCATGCCCACTCATTCATTGTCTTATCCGCACAGAATGGCGCGGATTGCGTAACACCTTATCTGCCAGTGCTCGCGCCACCTTTGGACTAGCAGAAGGGTCCTCCGGGCCAGGGTGGCGAAATTAACTTGAAGAAGATGTTTTAGAGGTACGGCATTCCCGAGTGCTTCCAAGACGGCCGTATCATTTCCCCTCAGTACTTAAGCCTCTTGAAGCTTGATGCCTCTCCAGCCTTCCTTTCACTCCGCAATGCCTCCGCCGCACCAGGATCCGGAGACCTCGTCGACGTTCAAGGAGGATAGCGACCTCTCACTAGCGTCAGAACCATTGCGGGCGATTCAGGACCAAGGGACGCAGAAGCAGTCATGGCTGGGGTACCTGTGGGACACGGCGGACCTGGGTCCGCAGGAGCGGCGCCTGCTGTTCAAGGTCGACACGTCCTTGCTGATATTTGCCTCGGTGTGTGTTACGTTATCCTCTTGTGCAAGACAACTGACCTGTGTAGCTGGGTTACTTCCGTTAAGAATCTCGACCAGGTAAGCTTTCGGGTGTCAGGGTCGTCCCGCTTAAACTTCAATGCAGACCAACATCCAGAGCGCTGTGAGTGTCCTGTTTACTTCCGCGCCACACTTCATTATGATCCGTCCCAGTTCTTTGCCGGAATGAAGGAAGACCTGTGAGTTGTTAGACGTATCCTGTGCTTCTCTGAGGTATCTTCAGAAACATGTACGGGAATGAACTGGTCCACGCAACCTCGTTCTGGACAGCGGGGTCCATATTCTATATGTGATTTTATCCATAGACTCACTCTATATGCAGATATGTCATCGGGCAAGTCCCGACCAACATCCTCCTCACTCGTGTCCCGCCACAATACGTCATTCCCACCGTGCGTTGTCGTTTTATTCACCCTCTTCCTTCGGTCCATCCTCACTAATACCAGCTGGAGCTACTTTGGGGAGTGATGACGCTCGCGACTTACTCGGTCAAGTCCGTGAAGTCTTTGTATGCATTGCGTTTCCTGGTGGGCCTCTTTGAGTCAGGCTTCTACCCTGGAATGCACTACATCCTCGCCTCATGGTACACTCCGCGCGAGCTCGGGAAGCGGACAACACTTTTCTGGGCGTCGGGCTCTTTGGGCGGGATGTTTTCTGGGTTTTTGCAGACAGCGGCGTATAAGAACTTGAATGGGGTGCATGGATTGGCTGGTTGGAGGTGCGCTTTCAATTTATATCTTGACATGCATGAAATTGACTAGAAGCGGCGTAGATGGCTGATGATAATTGACGCGATCGTGTGTGTCCACTCCCTGGTCGCCTTGCCTTTCGTGTTCCGCTCAAAGGTGACAGAACGCTGCCGATCGCGTTGTTTGGATATGTATTCCTGCCCAATTTGCCTTGGTCTTCGAAGCCATCGTTACTATTGGACGACCGGGTGCGTCAAACTATGTACTTGGTTGTTCTCTCATCATATCTTATTCATCTTCCAGGAGGTGGAGCTTGCGCGAGCCCGCATGCGAGCAATCGGCCGTACGGAACGCGCGCCCTGGACCCGGGCAAAGGTGTGTCACACTTTTCGAATTACCCTCCATATTCACGCATGCAGTTTCGCCGCATCTTTACGGGATGGAAGATTTACATCCTCCCCATGCTGTTTACGATTGGGTATAACGCCGGCGCACAGTCGCCGCTGCAGTATTGGATGAAGAGCTTCAACATCAAGCCATATCCAGTTCCGGGGCGGCATTGGACGGTGGAGCAGATTCAGCTGTGTAAAAGCTTCTCTATGCCGTCTTCCCGCCGTTTTATTGGCATTTACTAGACCCCCTACCGACGACAGCGGTCTTCGTCGTGACGGCGCTCGTCTTTGCATGGCTGAGTGATGGGCCTCTCAAAGGTGCTTAGTCGATCTGTTCACGGTGGTCGAGCCAAAACTAATGGCACAGGTGCGCGGTGGCCGTTTGTCCTATTCGGAGGCGTCTACGGCCTCATCATGGACATCGTCTGGCTCAAAATGCCGCTCTACACAAATATCAACGGTCATTTTGCCTATTTCTGGCTTATCATGTTGGGGGTGTGTGTTCCTTCTACACAGTTGTTCCATAGTAACACAGTATAGAGTGGCGCGGGGGCCCTCAGCCTGAACTGGGTCAGTGAAATCTGCGGAGAAGACGTAAGCTGCTGGTGTCTCTGCATTCCGCAGATCTGCCAGTGACGGACTTGTAGAACGAATTGCGCGCGATTGCGGTTGCGCTGGGAAACGACCTCGCGTATGTCGTGGCTGCCATCGCACCGAACTTCATCTGGAAGACGGTGGACTTTCCGAGAGCGCTGCGGGGATATCATTGGGCGATTGGCATGCACTCTCTTTCATGTCAGTGCATTTTCTCAGGTTCGCTTGTGGGTGTAATTGCTCTCATTCTTATTATCAGTGTGCTGGGTATGCCTGATCATATTCCTCGTGCGGCGAGAACGGCTACAGAAGGAGCGACGCATACGGGAGGCGGAGAAGGGCACGGTGGAAGAACGAGTCTTGGAATGAGATGGCGAAGCCGTTTAGCCGTGGCTTCGATTTCCATCTTGGCAGCGGAACAGTGAACGGAATAAACTAGGCTGATTCTCCGGGTTTTCGTACATTGCCTCCGACAAGTGGAACCGCAAACTACGTAGTGCGCTTCGTCCCGGATCTGCAGAACTTTAGTTTAAATCTTGGTCCAGAGTCACCACGGAAAGGATAGAACGAGCAAGTAGCCTTGGCAATCCGGCAATCACGCGCTGATGTCACAGTGTCTGCAGTTGCCTCTTGCCCTCATGGGCCCGCCGTTGCCCGATTGCCCAGTATGAATACCGCCTCAGTCTGTTGCACAATTACACGAGGCCCGCCCGATGCATTCGTACCTCGGAGCTCTCGAAGAGCACTCGACGGATGGGAGGTCTTGTGGTAGCGGGAGCAATTACGATTTCTCGGGAGCATTCATGGCTCTTCATTCAGTTGGCGCTGGGTCAAGGCAATATTCCGGTGCGTTTATGAGGGTACAAAGCCTCATCTCGCAAGACTGATTGTTCTGCTAAGCCCCACAATGCTTCCACTCCTCGCCACCCTGCTCTTCTTCGGGCTCGTCCATGGCCTGACCTCTACCCTCCAGCAGGTCACGAACTTTGGCTCAAACCCGACCAATGTCGGCATGTTTGTGTACAAGCCCACGACAGTAGCCTCCAAACCCGCCGTCATCGTTGCGATCCATTATTGCGGCGGAAGTGCGCAGGCATACTTCAACGGGTTCTCGCCCTATGCCCAGCTGGCAGATCAATACGGTTTCATCGTCATCTTCCCCAACTCTCCTAACTCCGGCTCTTGCTGGGACGTGTCGTCGAAGGCGAGTCTGACGCACAACGGAGGAGGGGACAGCAACGCGATTGCAAACATGGTCACCTACGCTATCAACACCTATGGCGCCGACGCAAGCCGCATTTTCGTGACGGGTTCTTCCTCTGGAGGTGTGTTATATGCCTCTGAGTCGTTGGAGCTTAATTGAATTGTCTCCAGCGATGATGACGAACGTCCTGTGTGCAGCCTATCCCAACCTATTCGCGGCTGCAACCGTCTACTCCGGTGTCCCCGCGGGCTGTTTCGTTTCGAGCTCGGGAGGAGTCGATGCTTGGAACTCTTCTTGCGCCAACGGCCAAGTCGTCGACACAGCAACCCAATGGGCTAACGTCGTTCACAACATGTACCCAGGCTACACAGGCTCCTACCCGCCGATCCAGGAGTACCACGGCACCGCCGACAATGTTCTCTTCTATCCCAATCTCGCCGAGGAAGTCAAGCAGTGGACGGGTGTGTTCGGCTACAACGCAAACGCGCCAGTGCAAGTCCTGCAAAACACCCCACTCTCAGGATACACAAAATCAATCTACGGACCCAACCTTCAGGGCATTTCCGGGCAGGGTGTGGGGCATACCGTCCCCATTCAAGGCAATGAAGACTTGAAATGGTTCGGCATCATCCCCGGCGGCGCAGGAGGCTCTGGAGGATCGAGCTCGGCAACAAGCCCGACGGGAGGCTCTACGACGGTTAAGAGTACAACAACTATTTCGAGCACGACGACAACCCCTTCACCTCCAACCGGCTCGCAGGCAGCTCATTGGGCCCAATGTGGTGGGATAGGTTGGACTGGCGCGACATCTTGGTTCGTATCCATTTCAAATTTATTTTCGAATGCTGACAAGGTTTGCAGTGTCGGCCGCTTCGAAAAGCTAAAAGCGCGCGGCCCTTGATCGGGGACGGCGGAGTCTTCGGCCGATAGCCAACGAAGGAAGAACTCTCTTTGACTTTCACCCTCAGAAAGAGATGACGAAAAGCAGAAACATAGCATGTATGCAGAGCACAGAAACGACAAGCAGCTTCGGTCGGATCTAAACCATCCGAGAATGAAACAGAACTAACTATCAGTACAGAGAGCAGAGAATAACAGCTAAATACTTGGGAATGCGCATTCTTAGTCCACAGAAATCACGCCCCGGGCCCAGAGCCCGCGATCCGGCCAAATACGACCGCCTCCAGCAAGGAACTCCCTGCGAGCCGGTTCTGGCCATGGACCCCGCCAATAACCTCGCCCGCGGCCCACAATCCGGGAATCGGCTCTCCACTCTCTGCGGCAAGGACACGCGCGGAGGCATCGACAGACAACCCACCCATAGTCTTTGTGTGGGTAAGTGGGGACAAAAGAGAGCAGAGGGAGAACTCACGTAGTGCACGACAGGCGTGGTGATCGCTACATGCAACGGTTCGTCGGGAGTAAAGGCTGGAGAGTTGAGTGGAGAAAGATAGGACGATATCGAGGACATACCGGCGTCCACGCCACTGCCCAACGGATCCGTCTCTGTCCCAAACTGCGCAAACGTGTCGAGCACGTTATCCAGCGGGACACCAGTGTCGTCGGCGAATGCCTTTGCGTTGTCGTAGCGCTTCATCAGGCCCTTGAAGACATAGAACGCGCCTAACCGGCTCAGCACAACAGACGCCAGCAGAGAGACAGCAACTTACAAGCCTTGGCCATGCCCGCGACCGCCTTCTCCCCCATGACCAGCCTCACCGGCCCACGCTCCTCCTTTTCGACGGTCTGCATCGCAGCAGTGACGACATCGCGTCGCTCGACCTCCTTGATAAACCGTTTCCCGTTCTTGTCCACAAGCATTCCTCCCGCCCCCGCGCAGCCCTTCCGCAGCCAGAAAGCGGGTTGTCGAATCTGGTTTCGCGGGGTCGACAAAGCCCGTGGGGTGTACTTGAACGAGCGATAGGTCGGTGGTGCCCGCTCGGAGGCTGGCGGGGAGGGAATCGGAAGTGGCGAGGGTGATGCCGTCGCCCGTGGCATGTGGGCCGTTGGTGGTTGAAAGAGAAAGCAAGTCGGGTCGGTGTTTGGCGATGAGCGAGTCCGGGGACAGGTCTGCCGCATAACCACTAACCAAGGTCAAGATTTGGAAACAGACAAAAACGAAAACACACGCACCCAGTGGCTAGTATCACGCCCTCGCCCCTCACCACGACTGTCTCACCCGCCATATTCCGGTACTCCACCCCCACAATATGCCCCTCTTCTTCAAGTAGTCTCGTCACCCGTGCATGCGTCACGATCTCGACCTTTTTCTCCTCGCCTAGCCGCTTCATAAGCGCGTCCGTAATTGCGTAGCCCGGCGCTCCGCCTTCTCCCCGATGGGTGCGCGCAATGGAATGTCCCCCGAGCCGCGCGACAACTGAGAGGTCGATGCCAAATGTGTCCGTGAGCCATGAAATGGCAGCGGGGGAGTTGGCGGTGAGGGCGGTGATGAGGTCGGGATGCTGGTGCGGGATGGCAGAGGATAGCGTGTCAGCAGCACTGCAAAAGGTTGGTATCGAGTCAGACAAATAGAATGGAGACACACAAGGCCTCGACGCTGTCGTCAATGCCGAGTGCCTTTTGCGCCGCCGTTTCAGCGCCATTGATGCCGGAGCTGGCCTTGAGGGAGTTGCCTCCAAGGCTGGGACTCGTCAGCGTTGATGAAAAGGGAAGGATAACACAACACACCTCGGCCACTTGTCGAGCAACACCACTCGCCGCCCACGCTCTACTAGCGTATGGGCTGCGCTCAGGCCCGCCAGGCCACCGCCCACGACAATCGTCCGTGCCCCTGCTGTCGCCATTAGCGCAAGCGCCGTCAATGCGTGAGGTAGCGTCGTTGGAGGAAGATGGGAGTATCGTCAGAAGACGCGTGGGAGGCTTTGCGAGCCCTCGGGTCGATCAGGGTGGAATGGTCTGGGCATGGCTGGGCGGCGTGGCCCGTCCGCACGTAACATTGCCAGTGCAGTCGGCGGGCACGGTCTGGAGTAGAAGGCAAAGGGCAAGACGTGATCTCGACTCTTGATCTGGATCCGATTCTGGAGTCGTTTCTGTGACTCGGATGGCCTCACGTTCGACCCCCGGATCTGAAATTTTATCGTTTGCACTTTTTTTTCATTGTCATACATGTACAGACATAGGCACTTGACTTAATAGTTCAGGTGTTTTTGCATAGTGTGGTTAAAGCAGAATCTGAACTTATATATGGGAGCCATATGGGAGACATACTGTAAAAAAGATTAGAGACAACTTGGGCAAAATACAACAAAAATATGGTACAACTTCATATTGACTACAACTACATGTTTGTCAAATACAACTTTACCAATCACATGTACAACTTGTCTAAATACAACTTTCCAATAGGGAGACAACTTGTTTCAAGTTGTTTGAAAGCATATACAACTTTAGGGGGATACAACTTCCTTAGAACCATGTACAACTGCCAGAATGACAACTTTCAACTTTTCATTTGGCCAAAGACAACTACAAATTCTAATAAGACATCTTTGGCTCTAATTCAGGTGTAACTTTTTCATGGGTAAGGCAACTTGAGTCTGGCTGTGACAAGTACAACTAGCCAGTTGGACAACTTTTCCTAAGACAACTTTATTTCTGTATGCAGTTTATTTGAATGCAACCTGGACTTTTTTGGCCAGCCATCACTGATATCATCAGCAGATCAGATAAACACATTAAATATGCTTTGCTCTACCACTGCCTTTATGATCACCGTTGATGGCCGCTGATAGCAAGTGATGGAGTAACTCAAGTTGTACCTTGTCTGAAAAAGTTGTATATAGGCCCAGAAAAGTTGTACCAGAGGCTTTGGCAATATGTATCGTGCAAAGTTGTGATTTACAAAGTTGTTCTAGTCTAGGTTGAAGTTGCACTTGAAAAAGTTGTACCTCAGAAAGAAAGTTGCACTTGAAAAAAGTTAGTTGTATTCAAGAAAGTTGGAGATGTTGCTGGAAAAGTTGTCTGCTTATTATGAGTGATCAGCAGTCAGAAAAGTTGCATTTGCAGAAGTTGAACATGTCTCCAGAAAAGTTGTCATCAAGTATAAACTTGTCACTAGCCAAAGTAAAACATATCGCCAGAAAAGCTGTCTTTGAGGTTGACTTGTACATGCACACAGGGTGAAAAGTTATATCTAATTTGCAAAGTTGTATCTAAAAACTCTAAAAAAGGTGAGTTGTACCTTCAAAAAGTTGTATCCTATGGCGGTTATATGGGGGACATACTGTAAAAAAAGTATTTGATACATGTTTTAAACTGGATACAACTTTTTGAAGGTACAACTCACCTTTTTTAGAGTTTTTAGATACAACTTTGCAAATTGGATACAACTTTTCACCCTGTGTACATGTACAAGTCAACCTCAAAGACAGCTTTTCTGGTGACATGTTTTACTTTGACTGGTGACAAGTTTATACTTGATGACAACTTTTCTGGAGACATGTTCAACTTCTGCAAGTGCAACTTTTCTGACTGCTGATAACTCATAATAAGCAGACAACCTTTCCAGCAACATCTTCAACTTTCTTGAATACAACTTGGTTTTTCATTTTGAGTACAACTTTTTCAAGTGCTACTTCAACCTAGACTGGAACAACTGTAAGGGCAACCCTGGAGACTCCGACGAAAGCCTAGCAGGGGAGGATCCAAAGCGTGAATAAAAGCTACGGGAAATACACGGAGGGACCGACCTAGCAGGGGAGGATCCAAAGAGAAGAAACTCTAAGGGTCCGCCTGCTAGGGCGCCAACTATATACTGGTCGTCCGTAACTGCCGACGTAGAGCGCAGAAGGCCTGAGCGGCGTCGCAGGCTCTGTCCCAAGGTGATCGTTGGGAGGGTCTTGACGGATCGGTGATTGTGCGGGCGAAGGAGGCCGTGGATGATGGTCGGGGTGGGTCGGAGCGTCCGAGGGGGCGCCGGTCGGATGCGCCTCGGATGCGTTCGGAGGGTCCGAAGGAGGCCGAAGCGGGGGTTCCCCTGACATCACCCCCCTTTGAATGCGGCGTCCCGACGCATAATACGGAAGGGCAGCGAGTCGAAGGTTGCTGAGGCGATGTGCCGTGGTTTACCCGGGTATCTCCGATAGAAGTCCGCAATCTTGTCTGGCGCAAAGACACGGTCGAACCGAACCCACGAGTCGTGTGAAGCATCGTAGCCTTTCCACCTGACGAAATAGTTAAGACGCTTATACCTTATCCTGGCATCCAAGATTTCCTCGACTTCCCATTCGGGAACTCCGTCCTCTAGTTCGGGGGCGGTTCGTCGTAGCCGGGTCGTCCGTCGAAGGGGTCGTCCTGAGCGGGTTCGAGCTTAACAACGGGGAAGACGGGGTGGAGCTTGGAGTAACGGGGGGGAGGTCTAGCTTGTAGGCACCTTTGCTAACCTCTGCGAGCACCTTGAACGGTCCAAGGCGCTTGTGGGAGAACTTCTCGGAGGGCCGAGTCGTTCTAATGTCAGAGGCGTCCAACCAAACCTTATCACCAACTTGAATCTTCGGAGCGTCCGAACGTTTCCGATCGTAGTACCGTTTATACTCGTCTTTGGCTTTAACGAGTGCGGCCTTTGCCTCGGAGACGCCGTTAGCTATCCGATCGCGAAACTCGTTTACCGACTCCAACTCTGAGCGGGCGCCTGGCTCGAAACCCATTCGGGGAGCCGGCCAGTGTCCGTCATAAAGGGTACCTGTTGAGTGGAGGAGTGAACGTGGTTGTTATAGGCGAACTCAGCGGCAGGGATAAGCTCGTCCCAGTCGTCTTGTTGGTAGTTGGTGAAGATCCGGATGTACTGCTCGAGCTCTTGGTTAACGCGCTCGGTTTGTCCGTCGGTTTGCGGGTGGTAAGCCGTGGAGGTAGCCGGTTTGACGCCAATTAAGCGCCAGAGTTCGCGTGAAGTCAGCGATGAACTGCGAGCCACGGTCCGAAATGTACTTCTCGGGGTTCCGTGGTGCCTCCAGACGTTCCGATAGTACAAGCGGGCAGCTCCGACCGCGTCTATTGTCGTATGGCACTCAGTGAAGTGGGCGCGCTTTCCGAGGGCGTCGACCACTACCATAACCGCGTCATACCCATGGGCCTCGGGCAGCTCGACAATGAAGTCTACAGTGACAGTGTGCCAACGTTCGGGCGGGACTTCGGTCGGATGGAGCTCTCCATGCGGAAGCCTTCGGAGGGCCTTCGTGCGGCAGCATAAGTCGCAGGTCGCGACGTAGCGTCCGATATGGCGAGACATCTGCGGCCACCAGTAGTTGCGCCGAAACCAACTCTAAGGTCTTGAACCGCCCGGCGTGTCCGGCGACTCGCGTATCGTGGCAGAGCTCGATGATGCGCCTCCTTAGGTCCTTGTCTTTAGGGACTACAACCTTGCCGCGGAAGTACAGGAGGTCGCCGGAGACGGCCCACTCGTCCGAACGTGATGAGCGGGGGCCCCGAACTTGACCTCGGACCTTCAAGAGTTGCCGGGCCGCAAGCGCGACGGGCTCCTCTAGGTCAGGCTCACCGGATAGCGCTTCCTTGATGTCGCGGACAAGTTCAGAGCCAGGCCCAGAGACGGTGACGGCCTCCTCAAGCGAACGTGGAACAGTTCGGGGCGTAAGAGGGTGACATCCGAGTTGTCGCCGGAGATACCGTGGTCGGGCCGGCGAGAGAGAGCATCGGGACGGCCCATCTGGCGACCTGGGGACGTGGTGCAGCGTAAAGTCAAACCTGGAAAGGTACAACGACCATCGGGCTTGCCGACGGTTAAGGTGCTGTGCCTTTCGGAAATACTCCAAATTCTTATGGTCAGTCCAGATCTCGACCGGATGCGCGGCGCCCTCGAGGAAATGCCGATACTCCTCGAGTGCGCGGATGATCGCGAGCATCTCCTTGTCGTGAATCTCGTAGTTGCGCTGGACATCATTTAAGCTTTTGGAATAGAACGCTACAGGGTGCCACTTCCCGTCCGGGGCGGATTGTTGTGAAAGAACCGCCCCCGTCGCATAATCTGAGCTGTCTGCTTCAAGTCGGAAAGGCCGGGAGTCGTCCGGGATCGCTAAGACGGGCTCTGAGACGACCGCGTCTTTGATAGCTTGAAAGGCGGCGGCTTCGGCGTCTCCCCAGGCCCATTTCTGGTCTTTCTTGGTGAGCGCGAAGAGGGGTTGCGCTAGGGCCGAGAAATCCCGAATGAACCTGCGGTAGAAATTAGCAAACCCCAGGAACTGCTGGACGTCCTTCTTGTTCTCGGGCGGAGGCCATGCGGAGACTCCGGCAACCTTAACGGGATCCATTTCGACGTGGTTGTGAGAGATGATAACCCCCAGGTACTCGATTGACGATTTCTCAAGTCGCACTTCTCCTTGCGAAGGTACAGCTTGTGCATTCGGAGTCGCCGAAGGACTTCAGGACGATCTCGCGGTGCTTACGGAGGTCCGAATGCGTGATAAGGATATCGTCGAGGTAGATCATGACGTCTCCTGAGAGAATGAGATCCTGGAAAATGTCATTCATCATCGTTTGGAAAGTCGCGGGGAGTTCGTCAGGCCAAAATACATCACCAAAGGTTCGAACAACCCTCGGTTGGTCCGAAAGGCCGCCTTCCACTCGTCTCCTTCTTTAATCCGGACGTTATTAAAGCCCCAGCGAACGTCGAGTTTGGTGAAGTAACGGGCGCCCTTAAGCCTGTTGATAAGGTCATTAATCAACGGGAGGGGGTACCGGTTCTTAATCGTCATTGCGTTGAGGGCGCGGTAGTCCTGGACAAACCGAAGTCCTCCGTCCTTTTTCTTAACGAAGAAGACGGGGGAAGCCA